TTTTTTTCATTTCCCAATGTTTAAAGATTTAATTTGTAGCATTGGATCTTGTGGTGAATGCAATTCAAAGGATATTGCTCTTGAATATCTCGATGAAAAAGCCAAGGGATTTTCAATACAATTTTGTATTAAATGTGCAACTTGTGAATGGACGTACTTCTTTAATTCATCTCGAGCATTTAGTATACCTGATAGAGATACCAGAGGAGTAAAATCTCAAGAAATTAATGTTAGAACTGTTATGGCATTTAGAGAAATTGGGCAAGGTCACGAGGCAATGAAAATATTTGCATCTATTTTGAATATGCCCCCACCAATGAGTTTGTTCTCGTATAATGAAATAAACTCTGACCTATTAAAATTTTATGAAGCTGCTTCTTGTGATAGCATGAAGGATGCTGTGACAGAGATAAGAAAAAGAGATTTTCCAAATGCTGCTGAAAATGATATTGTTGATATACAAATTGGAATTGACGGTTCATGGCAGAAACGTGGTCATTCATCTCTAAATGGTGTATGCACTGCTGTTGCAAAAGCTAACCGTAAAGTTGTCGATTACCAAGTATTTTCAAAGTTTTGTCGTGGCTGTGCTTTGTGGCAAAGTAAGAGAAATAAGAGCGGTTATGGAAAGTTTTTGAAGACACATGTTTGCGACCTTAACCACTTTAAATCATCAGGTGCCATGGAATCAGCAGGTGCTTTATCATTTTTTACGGAATCATTGGCAAAGTACAATGTTCGCTATTCTCATTATATAGGAGATGGAGATACTGAATCTTATACAAATGTTGTAAAGGCAAAGCCATATGGAGAAGATCTTGTCCCAGTAAAAATAGAGTGCGTCGGTCATGTCCAAAAACGCCTAGGCACCCGGTTACGTCAAATGCGATGTGACTTAAAGGGTAAAAAGTTAGAAGATGGGAAAATTATATCAGGGAAAGGAAGGTTGACAGATAAGATCATTAATAAAATGCAAAATTTTTATGGCATGAGCATTAGGCAAAATACCTTAGAAGCATGGAGTGGAGACCGTACTATAGCCTTGTACAATATGAAAAAATCTGTTTTGGCTGTATTGTGGCATTGCTCGAATATAAGCAACAGCGAAGAGAGACATCAATTTTGTCCACGTACAAAGGAAAGCTGGTGCAAGTATTGGCAGAATGACAAAAATTATAAACCATCAATTAATTTGCCTCTTGCTATTAAAAGTATTCTTAAAGACACATTCTTGGCACTACGGTCAGATGATTTGTTATCAAGATGCCTGGATGGCGCAACACAAAATCCAAATGAGGCTTTCAACCAGATAATCTGGAAAAAGTGTCCAAAAAATATTTTTGTTACTAAAAAGGTACTAGATCTTGGTGTTGCTTCAGCTGTAATAAATTACAATGATGGTTTGAGAGGTTTCACAAGAATTTTTGATTATTTGCAGCTCTTGCCTGGAAGTTTTATGATCCAAGGATCGTGGAAGAAGGATGTATCAAGAGTAAAGAACACGATTAAAAATTCAACTCCAAAGCAAAAAAGGGCTAGAAGGAAAAGGAGATGTATCAGGAAGGGTTATATTGATAAGGAGAAAGAAAAAGAGGGAGTAGACTCTTATATTACAGGAAATTTTTAATTAATAAATTGTTTTTAAACTTTGAAGCTTGATTTCTCAATTGTTTGTTTTTGCCTGACTGCAATAAGCGAATCATTCATATCTTTTTAACCAGATATGCAATTGAGTTCAAATTTTCAGGGTTGTTTCTTTATAGATAGAACTGCAATAGCTTACTAGAACTAATCTTAAGCTTGTTTCCATTTGAATATATTCATATTTTACCTTTTTTTTTTGTATCAATAATTTCCGTTAAAATTGAAAAAGCTGCCATTTTAAAAATAATAATTATTTTTAGTTTTTCTAGTAAGCTTTTGTTTAATACACTATAATCTATCAGTGTTGTAAGTTTTGGCTTATAATGTCATAAAGAGGCTGAGAAAATATTGTTTTCTTTTTTCATTGATTTTTTTGCATTTTATGCTGATTCAGCAAAAAAAAAAGGAAATTATTATTTTTTTATCATTTTTAATTATATTAATAAGTATGTTTCTTTTAAACTAACTTTGGTATATGATTAAGTTGGCAATCAAAAAATAATTTTTTTACCTGATAACCAATTTTTTACCAGATAACCAATAATTGAATCATTGTTGTTGGAAACACCGTGAAACAAACGAAGTCCCTTCTTGTTCATGATTTTAGCTGGTCTTCGACTACCACGTTTACGATTAGTTGTTAAGGATGCCAAAATACGGTAAATAGTTGAAACTAGAATATTTTTGGTTTTAAAATGATTCATAGTAAACTTTTTTTCAAGATTTTCGAGCATTTGATAGAATTGTGCAATGTGCTCGTATAATACATCTTGTTTTGACGCATTTTAAACACAACTGAATTAGCTGATGCAAAACACAACATATGATAAGTTTGAAACTATACTCATAGTTTCACGTAGGAGTACTTTTCTTTTTTTGATCTTTTTGGTTTGATTTCAGAGGGTTAGAACTATTCTCATTTTTTAGTTATCATCCGTTATAAGATCAGTTTCGTCCATTTAAATACTGAACCTTTTTATGCAAGTATTAAAACTTGTCGATTTGTTATAGTTGATATAAAAACTTACTCTGCCGCTATTCATTTTAATAATGGCAGCAAAGGTATTTTGTTTTTTTTAAAAGAATTTTATTTGAGTGGTTATTTAGCAGTAATGATATCTGTTCAGTTTGACAAAGTTAAAAAAATTAAGTCAATACAAAAGTGCATAAAGAAAAAATTTTGTGATAAGCATAATTCAAATGAATCTAATCAGTGATACGTTTCTAATTAAATTAATTTTACTTTAAAAAACTGTATGTGTTTTTAATAAAATTTTATTTTCGTAATACTCAGGGAATTTTGAAACGTACTATCTATGTTTTAGCTTTTGTGCCTAAAATATTAAGAGTGTACCTAGCATTCTACAGAAAATTGGCTAACTTGGGATTTATAAAAACCTTGTTTAATCCTTTTTAATAGAGAAATTAGTTCACACTTTTTACTCAGTTTTTTCGCCATGGACGTTCCGAAAGCTGTTTTTAAAAAAATATTAATTTTTTAAAATTTCTTATGAGAAAAATATTAGCTTTTGGATTAAAAAAGTTATTCAGACTTTTTTTAATTAAAAAAAGTTTTTAAGTAATTTACCACCTTAACATAACTTTTATTGTATCAATAAAGTCACTATGCAAGTTATCGAAAGCCCTATTCTGGGAAACTAATCACCCTAGTCAAAAGGTCTTATTGGATCCTATAAGAATTTTGACCAAAAAAAAATTTCAGATTTGAACCCCATTAAGTTAAAATACTTAAATTAAAAGTATTTATAATCATCAAAATTTTACTTTTTGTTTCGAAATCCTTTAGGTTCTATAGGATTTTTTGGCTATGGCAGGCTGGGTAGTAGTAACAGTATCGAAAACAGCCAAAAAACTGAACTAATTCGAAAAGGGACTTTCTGATATCGAAATAGAGAACAAAATCGATATTGTGAAAAAAACAAATAGTATCGAAAATCCTAAAAGCAGTATAAGATCAAAATTAGAAGAAAATGATTAACATCGAAATAATTAAAGATTAAATGTCGAAAATTAAAAAAATGAATAGACTGTCTTGCTAAACCAAACCAAACGATATTAATCCCAAAAAAACGTTTCCATCAAAAAATTTCGATAATAGTCAGTTTTTCGAGCAATTTTTTTTCGAAACTATTCTGCAATCCTGGCACGTTATCTACACTTCTAACCTAGAAAAATCTAAATCGAAACTACATACATATAATATAATTTCAGGGGTAATTTTCTTTTCTGAAAATAAAAAGACTAAATTTTATTTTACAATCTATATTTTACAAAAACTGAAAAAGAAAAATTGCAATATAAATTTATAAAAACATACAAGTTTACAATGGGTATATACTATGCATACATTTAGGTACATACTACGCAAATATTTAGGTACATACAACAAATTTGTAGAATGCAAAAATATTTATTTAATATGAAAAAAAAAAAAAAAGTATAAAATGTTGCAAATCTTTCTTAAGTTGATTCAAAAAATTATCTTTAGCAAAAGACATTTTGTTTTTTACAAAAACAATTTATATGAGTATTATTTTTGTAACATCAAAATTTAAAAATTCGCAAAATCTATTTCAAAATCTATTTTCAAAATTTATTTCATTAACAGAACAAGAACAATTCGATAGAAAGAACAAAGGAATTCGATGCTCAAACGCAAAAAAATAAAAAAAAAAAAAAAAAAGAAGAGACTACATATCTAAACCGAAATTTTCCAAATCATGTATAAAAAAAAGATTTTTATGACTTATGGAATCAGGGCCGTGTAATATAAATGTAAATATAAACTATAATATAAATGTGCCGTGGTTAGGCACATTTATATTACAGTTAGGCTCTCATTTTTTAAAAGCCCTGTTAAAGACTTAAATGCATAAATAGTTTTAAAGGCAACCACAGACCATATAGGGCTGTCACAGACCATATAGCACTGTATGAAAGCGAATATCTAACAAATTATTACAATTTAAATTAAAAATTAACAAATATTTTTAGTGTTTGTCGTTGTTAGAATTTTAATAAGAGAAAATAAAAAATTATACATAAAAAAAAAGCCGCACTAAAAATAGAAATGTAAAACTTGCAAAATCATCAGGTTTCATAACAGCAATAAAAAATTCGAGATAATAAAAAATGAATACTCTTAATAAAAATATTAAATAAAATGACCATAGAAAAACAAATAACTTCTTTAAAAATTATTCAAACATTAGTTATGTGAATTGACAGAAAAAGGTATCCCATTTACTTTTCTGCAGTCCGAAAATAAATATTGATTGAAACGATAACGTATATAAACTTTTTACAATTTTTGCGTTTCTTTTTAAAAGAAAAAGTTACTTTTTTAATGAAGGAACTAACTTTAGTTTAGATGATACGCTTGCATGTCTGTTTTTGTTAAAACCACCTTCAATCTATTAAAATTATGAAAAATCTATATTTAACTTATTCAAACCACTAATTAATTTATTCAATCTACACAATTAACACTTAATCTTTATTTAAGTAGAAACTTTAATGTAGTATTGCATAAGTTAAGAACATTAAGCATTATACAAACAAGAACATTAAGCATTATACAAACAAGAATACATTAAAAATATATTAAAAGAACGTCGTAATGCGTGTGCAATTAATTACAACATATTTGCATGTTAACACTATATATAAATGAAATATATGTTTATACACAATCACACAAGCACTAAGACTTACACACGCTACAAGGCAGACGATAAGTAATATAATTTAGGCCCAACTTTGATCAATGTTATAATGATTGTTGTTTAGTTAAGTAGATATACAGTAAAACAATTATATATTATATCCGAATACACTTTTTGTTTTTAATTTTCTGTATAATGATTTCCTAAATAGCTGAACATTTGCCTAACAACAATAAAAAAGAAGCCTTAAATTCTTCGAACTTATAAAAAAATGAAAACATTTATATGGCACTTTACTATATTTAAATCAAACATTTTACTTTGTTTATCAAACTTTACTTTTGTTCGTAATCTTTTCAGAAAAGTTTTTATAACTGTCTTTTCTCGGAACCGAACTTTGAAAAGAAAATGACTTGTACTTCGGTTTTTTTTCAAAGCCAATTATTAACAAAACTGCAGTCAGCAAGTGCTGCAACAATAAAATCACGTTTTAAAACTAAACCGAACGAAGTTTATGCACAGAATTCGACGAAACTATTAAGAAAATATATTTGGAAATAAATATATATGAAAGCCAAAAACAAAAACACACAAAAAGATGTTGATATTAGCTGTTAGCATTAACTATAAGTCATAAGCATTAACTATAATTATATTTTCTGTCTTTATTACATTTAAGAAACATCATAGTTTCAAGAAATGAATCTGATATACAAGTTCTATGATTCATTACCAATCCACTCTGCAAAAAGATACGCTCTACATGACCTACAAATTTAACATGAAATCTGAAAATATTTTTTGAAGTCTATTAAATATGAAGAGCAACTGCGGGGTGTTAGCCAGGAATATATTTTTTACTGCGCTTTTACAATATTGGGGATATTTATTGTTATTGTTCTTTAAAATATTAGGAACTTTTATTGATATTGTCCTATTACTTTAAAAAAAAAGAAGAAAAAAGAAAGGTCATTGAATTTTAGAAATTTTTAAACCCATAGAAAGTTTCGCAGTATATGCGGTGCAATAGGACTGGCTAACACCCTGAGCTATTCTGACTGCTAAAAAGCTTGCTTTCTTGACGAGGTTATGCAGAAATCAAACTAAGTGTGTTTGTTAGACCAGACACTTCCAAATTGATTAAGAATGATTTATTTAAAGATTCTTTAAATGAAGTTGAACAAAGCACTTAAGACGTAATAATAACGAAAGTTGAATTTTTTATTAGAAAGAAGAAAAGCCAAAATTACAAGGAAATAGTAGCATAAATCCTATGCGTTATTTGATGCACAATTTGTTGAAGAATTGCTTTTTTAGGAGTCCCCTAAATTTTTTTTCCTGCGGACTTGGAAAAGATAAGCTACCAGCACGGGAAAAAATATCAACTGTCTTTACTTCTTATGTATTAAAGTAATTGATGACATTTCATTATTGTTTGTTAATACAATTTTACTTATTTTATTATTGTTTGTTAATACAATATTACTTATTTTATTATTGTTTATTAATACAATATTACTTATTTTATTATTGTTTGTTAATACAATATTACTTAAATTATTATAGTAAAAAACAATGTTTAACGCAAAATTTTAATATCATTTAAGATTTATTGAATTAAAATTTTATTTTTAAACAAAATGCAATCAATAAAATATTTTCAGAAAGTTTGTTCATGCTACAAAATGAAACGTTTTTGCACTGAACTTCTATGTGTGTGAGTGTGTTTTGACTTTTTAACATCATTTATAAGATCTTATATTAATAAGAAAGACATCAAATAATTTAAAATATTTTAATTCAAATAACAATTCAATAAAAAGTTTTTTTTCTTCTGATTTATTGTCACCAGCTTTTAAAATTATATAAAATTTTAAATGTTAAAAAAAAAAAAATCAACTTATATCAGCAGTTAAATAATTTTTTTTTCCATATAAGTCTTAAACAATCTAAATCCTAATCATGTCCTAAAAATCAAAAAAAAAAATTCATTAATTTGGATATAGAATAGATAAGCAAAACAAAGTTGGATATAGAATAGGTAGGCAAACACTGTCAGTTAGCGATTGCCATTAAATAATAATGCTATGTCGTGTTGTAAATATCGCTTGAAATGAATTAGGAGGCCTAAACTCTTGGATTAGAAGTAAAAAAAATTCAATCAAAAGGTCTATTGAAGCTATTGAAAAAAAAAAGAGCAAAAATAGAAAAAAAAAAAAAAATAAATAAAAAAATTTTAAGCAGAAGGCTAAAAATTAATAAAAAAAACAAACAAAAAAAACAAAAAAAAAGATTAAGCATAAATATATGAACACCAATTAAACCTTGTTTTATTATTTATTTTATTCTTTATAAGAACACTAATTAAACCTAAAGTTTTTTTTTAAACTTATTTTATTATTTAGTCTAATTTTACTATTTGGAAAATAACTCAAACTAAATTAAACTTTTAGCTGTTAAACCTAATAATTTAAAAATTCTTTTGATTATATAAAATAACTTTTTATTAGAGAAAGAGAAAAAAAATGCATCCAACATTTTATGCTTTACATCACAAAAGTTTAAGAGTAAAAGATAAAACAACTAATCAATCATAAAATATTTAAAACGATTTTATACAATTATTTTCAAGATCAAAGAGAAGTTCAAAGATTTATTTAAAAAAAAAACTTATAAAAAACTTTTTTTTTTTAATTTTGTAATTAAAAAAGCTACTTTGACTTTCTTATATTAATACTCAATTTATATAATATAGAAATTGTGGGACTTAACTAATAGATTTTAAATTTATTTTTATTTGATTCTTTTATTAAAAGAAGTCAAAACCTTTTATTGATTTATCAATTTAGTAAAAAATTTTCGTTTTAGTCTAGAGAGGTAGTCTAGGGTAGATTAAATTTTTACAATTTACTAACTAGGATAGATTGTGTTAAATTGTATTTTGCAAGATGCAGTTGGTAAGAAAAGGTAAAAACATGGTATTTTTAATGAAATCTTTTCCAATAAACCTATTTAAAATTAAATAGAGATTTTGTTGTTAGATTTAATGGTTTTGATTTGCTTTTATTAGCTGGCCATTATTAGGTATTGAACTGTTTTTATTAGCTGGTTATGACTAGATTTGAAGGTTTTTAATTTTTTACAATTAAAGCTAACTATTAATAATTTTTTTTTTTACTTGTTTAAAAAGTATATCAATTTACTTTTTTTTGTTATACTTCTAAAATTACTCATAACTACTAAATAATTTCAAAAATAATTACTTTTATGTTTTTTTGTTTTTAACTAAAGAATCATTTCATTTTTTCTGTAAAAGCCAAGCAATTGGCAATCTAGTTAGTCATTCTGAAACACTTGAACATGGAAACAGTGAACAAATAGCATTAGATGCTAGTTGAAGTTAAAATTTAAAGAAGTTCTTTAAATTCAATCTGAAACTTTTTACAAATATTTTAAACATAAGATGTTTAATGATTTTTATACTTTAAAAAGAGAGAAAATATTGAACATTGTGAAACTTTTTTATATTCTTCTTCTAATGATGCCCTTTCTCTTTTAGACAAGGTGCAAAAACGCATTGTAAACATAGTTGGACCTGGTCTTGCAGCCAACCTTCAACCTCTGTCACATCGTCGTAATGTTGCTTTTCTTTCTCTTTTCTACAAATACTATAATGGGCACTGCTCGAAGGAGCTAGCGTCTCTTGTGCCATCTACTAAAATTCATTCTCGTGTTACTTGTCATTCAATTAAGTCTCATCCTTTTTCTGTTACTGTTCCTAAGTGCTCCAAAAACTCTTATTTGTCTAGTTTTTTTCCTCAAACATCAGTTCTTTGGAATTCACTTCCTTTATCTTGCTTTCCTGATTCATATAATTTGCAATCTTTTAAGTCGTCTGTCAATCGTTATCTTGCTCTCCAATCTTCATCTTTTCTCTTCCAGTAACTTCCAACACTAATTAGTGGTTGCTTGCAGCCTTGTTGGAAGTGAAGATAATTAAAAAAATATATATATTACTTTTTAAAATACACTAAATCTTGTTGTAGTTAGACAAATTACAAATTTTAGACTAATTTTAATACTATCACTTGAAAATAATTATCCTTTGATGTCGTAATGGAACTTTCAAATATGTTGAACTTGTAAAAAAGAGAAAAAAAGATTCTTTGTATTAACTTGTGAAAAACTTGTTTAAAAAATGATACTATGCTTTAAATGACAATTCTGTGTCAGAATTCCTGATGTCAAAAAAAAAACATTTCAAGAGATAAAAAGGTAATCCATAGCCTAGCATTTGTTACTTATTCTTCATACAATGAAAAATATTAGACCAGTATTTAAAAGATTTATTTAAAGTTTAAAATTAAAAATTTTTAATAATAATAAAGTTTTAAATTTACCGATTTTTTTAAAATAATCTAAAGAAATAGTGAAGAAATAAATAATTTCAGCAGATTCAAGGCAAGGATGTTTATTTTAAATGTTTTTGAATGTTTAAAAAGATATTCAAAAAAACTTAATGGTGCTTGTGTAAAACAATCTTTGTGTTTTGTAGATTTTTCTGAACACATTACACCTCATTACACCAGCCAATGAGCACTCAGATTACACCAGTAAATCACTACTCATATTACAGTATATCATATTATTTCACCAGCATCATACTTTGCCAGCATCACAATTTTCCAGTATCAGAATTTCACCAGCATCACAATTTGCCAGTATCAGAATTTCACCAGTATTTTTTATCACAACTCACAAGCATCACAATTAAAGACTTGAACTGCTAGAAAATTTGTTTTTAAAAACTTTTCAAATTTTCATTCAAAACTTCTTGCTGAGATTTAGTGTTGAAACCATAATAACAGATCAAAGCAACACTTCAAGAACACTGTTTTAAATAAGCTAAGCATGACATACACCAAACTTTTGCTACAAAAACCAAATTAAGTCAATTTAAAGACAATTCTATCAAAAACACTCCCAACATTTAACTAACAGAAAACATAAAGATTTGAAGAACTATATTTAAATAACACAAAACATAAAAAATTGTGCTTAAAGTAAAATAGAAGAATATATAAATGGTATTTAATACATAATTAATATACAAATAAAATAGAATAATATATAAATAGAATAGTATAATATATTAATAAAACTAAATATTATAATGTTACCTGGGCTTTTGTACTTTGGATAATTTTAAAAATTTTTTTGCGATGACCAATCGGCCCTATTCCTAGTTCTTCTAAGTCATCAATTGTCAAACCTATAACTTGACGAGGAGTTGCATAACCTTTATCAAGAAAGTTAGTAGCATACTTTTCCATTCCAATTGCTTCTAACCATTTTGTTATAGTCAATAAAACTGAATAATCTAAGTTTTCATCTCTGTAAATATTTAAAAAAATAAACTTATGTTTTTTACAAAAAGTATTAAAAGTAAAAGCATCTAGTATTTTCAATGAACATAACAACATATTATTAAAGAACACTTATCTAATCTTTTCCTTTAATTTTATTATTTCACAGAGAGTTTATTCAATGTTAACTCTCTTATGTTTTTTCTTTTAATTCCACAGAAAATTCTCTAACTTAAAGTTGAAGAAAAAGAACTATAAGGCTTTCTTTTATAATACATTATTTAAGTACACAGTAAAAGACATTTTTAAAATATAAAGCTGTGTTCACTTAATCTCTATATAAAATAAATAAATCTATAGATTAATGACTAACGCTTTTGTAACTACGGATGGTGCAATTTCTGTTAAAAGATCAGAATTGCGAATCCATTTTTCTAACAAGATAACAATTGATGAAAACTTCGGTCTTTTAGACCGATCTTTATTCCAGCAATTCAACATAAGATTATGTATAACTTTTGGACAACCCTAAAAAATAAAATGAGTTTTAAATATAAATAGCTTTTATAAGTAGGCAAAGAAGCTTTGCTTAACATAAATTAGTATAACTAAAAAATGTAAAAGTAGAAAAACTACTAAGTAAAGTTCTCAATGCAAATTATATATCCATAGGAAAAAAATCGTAGTTTTTAAATTTTTTTTTTTTTTTACCTTTTATTTAATGATTTTTTAAAAAATTCACCTCCCCGAGGCCAAGAAGACCACCACAAACAAGGAGGCTACTTTAATTGTGGTAATATTAAGGTTCAAACTTTTTTTTTTTTAATAATTTGAACTTTTAAATTTAAAAAATAGAAATGCTTTTTCATTCAACTTTGTAATGTAACTTTGTACAGTTGAAATATAAGTAAAAATTATTATTTTGAATAATGTGGCACTTTTAAAAAGCAATGTTTTTTTTTTTGCTCTTTTTGTTTTGTGTTTGTCTGGTAACACTAAAAATACAAACAAAACTCTATCACCCGTAGTGCCATCACATTTAAGGTATGGCAGCATCACAATTGCATGCCATTCCTTGGACAGGAATGGCATGCAATTGAGCGCAATTGCTGACCACGCAAATGGTTTTTTAATTTTGATGCAAAAATAATGTTTCTAATTGCGTTTAAAATAAATTACTTTAAAACTTATCTTTAGATAAGTTTTATTAAAGTTATGCAAAACGCTTTTACAAATTACTTATAATTATTGTTTAATGAATGAACAAATTTTATTTAAATTATTAAAAAGTGTTATATTAATTTTAAATTGTATAAACATTTATATTTTTCAAAAAGTTGCATAAACAAATTGTTTAAAAAAATAACGTAGTCTTTTTAAAATAGTAATTTTACATCATTTCATGCTCTGATTAGTAAATCAAGTTAAAAAAAAAAAGGTTTGAAACAATTCTTTGTAAAAATAGTAACAAATAAAAGTTAAGCAATAAAATCATTCAAAGTGAAGATTTAATTAATTCATAATTTAAAGTAACTTAAAATATTTTTAGGAAGACATTGAAAAATAGTTTCAAATGTTTAAATTTATCATAAAAAAAAGCTGTGGTCAAATTGTAAAGAAAAAAAAAGTGTAGTCAGTTACAGCGTGCGATTGCACGCCATTCCTGTCCAAGCCTGAGTAGTCAGTTTTTTCCTATTAAAAATGATTAAACAATGGCCGTTATTTTTTCACAATTTGACCACTTTTTATTTACATTTGAAAAAAGTTGGAATTAAAATCATTTAAAGTTCAAACAATGGTTACTTAGTGTTGATCTAGAAGATCTGAGGTTTAGGAGCATTTTAATTTTTTCCAAAAGCTGCAATGAGCAAAATTGCCTCAACATCCAGTATTACAAGACACTTAAAAAAGAAACACAAAATTGAAGTTCCAAAATGTAATACCGTCAATAAAAATTAAATTAATAAAATAATAACTTAGACATAAAAATATATTTGTTAAAACAAGTTGTTTTAAATCAAAATCAGTTTGAGAATAAAATAAAAAGAAATAATAAATAAATAATAGAAATAAAAAGAAATAATTAATAAATAATAGAAATAATAAAGAAATAATAAAGACAATTTTGCAACAAATCTCTCATTAAAAGATTATTCCATCTTAGAGAAACTCTGTTGTTGATAAAAAAAATTTTGTTATATTAAAATTATAACAAAGAATTGACTCAAGCTAAACAACTGAAAATCTTTTGTTAAAACATCTGATTTTCAAATGTATTTGACAAGGATGAAATAATAAAGATTTTTGATTATTTGTTTTAAAAAAGTAAACTAACAAAATTAAAAAAAAAATTTAATACTTGTTTTAATCTTTTTATTTGTTTTTAAATAAAAAGGTTTTTTAAAATAAAAAGCAGCTTAAAAAGTCTCTATAAACAAATTAACAGTTTTGTACTTAACTTTTACTTTTTCATTTTTTATGATTTTTATTTTATTAAAAAAAAATAAAAACTAAAAAAAAAGTTTGAAAAAGTTTAAATTATTTCCAAAATAGTTCCAAGTGTTTGAGTTCCAACTTTTTAAATAAAATTGGCAGCACTAATTACAACTCTATAACTTCAAAACAAAATCAAATCAAGGTCGCAGCGCAGAGAAACAAGTTGAGTACAATATTACCAGGAAGTGGTGGGGAACAGATTCAGAACTTTTCACTCAACTTCTCACTTATGAAGCAAGTGCTCTACCACTACATCACTACCTCTGATTGCCCTTTCATTAGTACCTTTCAATAACTCTCAACTTTGGGTGTCTTGAGGATTTGCTGTTATAGGCACAATGCTCACATCATTTTTTTTATACTATTTATTGGCCAGGTTAGTGTAATTACTTAAAAATAAATCAAGCCAGAAAACAGGTCTACTAATGAAACACACTTTAACATATTTGAACAGAAAGTGTGGAGTCATAAATTTAGTTAATTTGCCACACTTGCAAATAGTTTGCTAAATCTCTTTAAGCAAACTTATTATGTTTGGTATCTTTAAATAGACAGCACCAAGAGTTTGCTGACGATCTTCTTTAATATAAATTTCAACACCTTCAATAATAAAGGTTTTAAAATAGTCATACAAGTTGCATTTTTTTTGAACGTTTTTTTTTTTAAAAGAATGAAGGCTATGTGTAATTTGAACTTTAAAAAAAAAACTATAAGAAAACCTGCTTTTTTGTGTATGCTCCTTAGTGATTGACTGCTCCTTAGTGATTGACTGCTCCTTAGTGATTGACTGCTCCTTAGTGATTGACTGCTCCTTAGTGATTGACTTGAGTTAAAACTGTTAACCAGCTTTTATTCTAACTAATTTTGTATTTTATTTCCACCGCCAGATTTGCAAGAAAAATATTGAGCAACTTGATTAATAATGTAGAGATATATTTGTAATTCATTTGCTAATGAATTGCAATTTATATTGGGATTTTCCCAACATTTTTGCATAATTTTTTGTTAAACATCTTAATTTATCATTATTTTAAACTATTTTTATAATAGCTATAAACTATTTTATAGCTATAAACTACTTTAAAACTAACTTATCATTATTTAAAATTTTTTTTGGAACTGCAATACTCTATAAACAAAATACTAGCACAAATGAAAATAAATTAAATCATCAATTCAAAAAAAATTAGGAATTTATGTTACAAATGATACTTTGAATATTACTTGTAACAATACAGATTTAAAAAAAAAAAGAAGTCTATCATGTCAGTCCAGGATTAAGGTAAAGCGAGGCCCTATTTGAAATACAATAATAAAGTAAAAAATAATAAAAATTATTTGCATCATCGATTCATATTATACTTGTCTAACTTTTTAAATTAAATATTTGTTTTTTTTTAAAATTAAATTTAAAATTGTCTTTTTTAATTAATATGTCTAAAAATTTTTAATTAAAAATAAAATTTTAAACTTTTATTTTTTAAATTAAACATTCAATTTTCGGGGGCCCCTATTAGCTGGGAACCCTAGACTATTGTCTAGTCTAACATATTGGTTAATCCAGCACTGATCTAAGTTTTCATTCAAACATATCTAAATATAACACTGTCTAAAAAATACATATTATAGAGGTTGGTCACAACAATCAAGCCTATATAGAATAATATAAAGTATTTACTATAAAAATATTGAACATTCAGTTTAAAAATATAGAACTTTTATCTTAAAAATATAGAACATTGACTTAAATAAAAACTCACCATAGGTGGAGGTAATCTGTATCCAGAATTGATTCTTTCAAGCACCTATAATAATTAACAAAGTCAACTTTACCAAGATGTCAAAATTAATATTTTATACTCATAAAATATTATTACGCAATTTCATATGTATTTTATACTTTTATTAATGTATTTTAAGTCAACATAGAATATATTCATACAAAAAGTACTAATATGAATGTATTTTATAAAAATATAAAATAAATACATACTTTTATTAACGCATTTTTATTATGTTTTATATCAACATAAGATATATAAAATAATAAAGTACTTATATTAATGTAGTACATGTAAAATACATAAATTACTTTTATGTGTTTTACACTTCATCTTGTTTATTCTTTTTAAAGTTATTTTCAATGCATTTTTTTTCTCAAAAAAAAATATTATCATTTATATACTTTTCCATTTTAAGATAAATTGAATCATGTAATAATCAATTTATTTTTACTTATTAATATTATTAACTTATTATCAGTCATTATACTACATTCAAAACAATATTAGCTTTGTCAAAAATTTAATGACAACCTCATAGTTTCCCCATTCCCAGTATGGTCTCTCTCCATATGACATAATCTCCCACAACAACACACCGTACGACCACATGTCAGAAGCACTCGTAAACTTCTTGAACTGAACTGCTTCTGGTGCTGTCCACCGAACTGGAATTTTGCCTCCCTAAATAAAAATTTAAAATATTTCATATAAAAACATACAAATTTTACACATGTTTACTGTGACACTTGCTGTGAAGAAGTAGAAAACAAAAAAGTGCAGCCTGGTAGATATGTGCAAAAATCTTATTTTATTCTAAAGCTACGTTATATTTTAACTAGATTTTTTTAATTCAAAACCGTTGCTTCCAACAGCTCAATAGTTACTTAAACTAGTTAAAAGATTTTTTTGCTCAGTTTGTTTGCATTTATTTTTTGAATTAATGTTTTATACATGCTTTTAAGTATCTATAGTTTGTGATGACAAATCTTTGTGATGACAAATCTTTTTTTTTGACACTTTTATGCATACACTCATTTTCATTAATACAAGCTTGCAGTTTTCACTTGAACTTATGCTAATTTACACTAATTTACAACATATTGCATTTGATTAAGTTTTTTTATAATAAGAAGTTGATTAAGTTTTTTATCATAAGAAGTAAATATATCTTTATGCTAAGCAATTTTTAAGCTGGAAATTAAGAAGTTATAATTTTGAGACAAGTCTATAAATTATATTGAAAATTTGTATAAACCTTTGTATCATAAGTTTCATCTATATTTATTTTTCGACTCATTCCGAAATCTGCCACTTTGCAGTTCTTAAGCTCATCAACCAAAATATTTCGAGCAGCAAGATCCTAAAAAGATAAATAATTTCTTAAAATTGTAATCATTCAATAAAACTTTACAATATTGACTTGACTTACTCGGTGTATAAAACCCATTTCAGAAAGGTATTTCATTCCACTTGCAACCCCTCGAGCCATGCCAAGTAGCTGAAGTGTAGTAAACTGATTGTCATTTTCCTGAATAATAATAAATGTTTAAATTATTTTGTTAAAGATTTTTTTTTAAGATGTCAGACAATAAATGTCTGACATCTTAAAAAAAACGTTGTATTACTTTGTAGTAAAATTAAAAAAATCTATTTTTGTTTTAAATATCTTTTAAAAATAGTTTTATCAAACCTGCAAAAACTTGTCTAATGCTCCGTTTGCCATGTATTCAAGTACAATAAGGTTTGGTTTATCTATTGAATATATACTTAAGAATGAACCTTCAATTAATAAAGAATATTAAATATCTATAAAAAGTTCTTAAGAAATAATTTGTTATAAATAAATAAATTTTAATAAATTTTTAAAATTTTCAAAACTTGGTTACCTCTGAGTATAACTCCTTCAAGACATATGACATTTTGATCTGCAAACTGTCCTAATATTGCAGCTTCACCCAAGAAGTCATCTCTGTCATGTTTTGAGGCGCCATTCTACAAAATCATCACTTTTTAATTTTTTAATTATGTCACATTTATGAAATAAATCATCACAAACATACACCTTTTTACGTCACATTTATGAAACAATTAATCACAAACACACACCTTTTTATGTCACATTTATGAAACAAATCATCACAAACACACACTTTTTTATGTCACGTTTATGAAACAAATCATCACAAACTTTTTATAATAAATTAATTAAAAAAATAAAGTTTTTTAATTGTTTAAATAGTCAAAACAATTTAAGTATTTTTTTAATTTTAAAAATAAAGCACAAGTCGGGTTGTCTTACAAATCCACTAACAGAAAATAAGCGCAATCATTTAGCTCTTCTCTACATCTTTACGTTTTACAACTTTTTTTATATACTACCAAAACACAAAACTACAATAACAATACTTATAATTATGAAATTTATGTAACTAATATAATCCATACACAAAGAGAAAAACAATTTTTAAACACCATAAAACCCCTCCCACCAGCAAAATTTGTAAATAAGACTAAACCAACTTAACAATAAACAAAATTAAAAGTAAATATGAAGCTTGTTTTGTTAAACCATAGAACAGAAAACTAGATAAGATATTAGGTATGTCCTATGTATTCATAGCGTCTGAGTTTAACGGCATAATTTTTTTTTTAGAAAAAAAAAAAACTTTTTCTACAGGAAAAGTTCTTTTTTTTCCAATAGTATTGTGTTTTTTCCTAATTGGTGACTATTAATATTATATATGAACAATATAACTAAATATTGTTTTATTTTTTGTTTCAGTAGGATAACATATTTTTAATTTTCCATATTATTGTTTTGTACATCAGTATTAGTTCAAATATATCTTGTAAGTATGATAAAGACTATTATATGTTTAATTGCTATTAATCTTTTACTCCAGCATTTTTATTTTTCAAATTCATAAATTATTCAAAAAAGATTAATACCATTCTTAGTTGCTCAGAAAAACTCAGAAAATCCATTAAAAATTAGCTGAGTAATTATCTTGAAGATTTAAAACCTTGGAGAAAATTCCTCCTAATTGAATTTCAAACATTAGGTGAACTTGCTGTCATGTCTTGATCAGCTGCAAGACAAAATACTAGTTTATAAAAACAATCTATAAAGTTTATCAAGTTACTAAAGAAATTGCAGAACAATAGTATACCGTCAAATGGGGTTATATGGCCACTGTTTTTTTTCAATAATTTGCTAAATACAAAAGCTAATAACTTGTAGATTTTATTCAACAATTACTAATACAAGATGCACATTATATGAGAAAATCAGCAATCTAACTTTAAAACTTTAGCCACAATATATTAATGAAAAATATTTTTGAAAAATAAAAATATTGGGTTTGAATTTTTGAAAATCAGATATGTAACTTATAAAAATTTAACCAGAGTTTATTAATAAAAACTATTTTTGAAAAATCCCCAAATAGTATAATTTGGCCACTAAACAAAAAATTTATTTTAAAAAACAAAATATTGCAATACATGTTTATGAAATTAAAAGAAGTCGCAAATTGCAAAACTAGCAAAAATCAAAATCAAAATAAAAAAATTCTTAACAAATCATAAAGGCACTTAAGTCTGCTTTAATGCAAACTCTCCCTGCCTTGACATCGCAAACTTGAAGTATCAAACAAATGTTGTTGACATCTGTGTCATAGATATTATTTTTTGGTTTGTGAAACAAATGCGTGCCTTCTACCTCTTTGTAAGTATATTTACTTTGTAATAGTCTATTTTAAACACGGTTTCAGAGATCTTCTTAATGATTTTACCAAAAAATGAACTGTATGGGACCTACTACCATTTGTCTCAAAACTGGCCAGGACATATGTGCCAAGTTTTCATTTTTTCAGGTCTACCAAACTAGGCCCATTTTGGCTCCTGGTGCAACTGTGATCTTCTTTGCTCATACTTGTATCGGTTTTACTACACTCTTCCTCTGTTTTCTCAAACGTTCTATTAGTTATTGGCTGACAAATTCTCGCAATGTTTCTCCTTCAGGAAGATCTTTTCTTACATTTGTAATGACACTTCTACTGTTAGGTGGAACAATATAACAGGTTTTGAAGCTGGCTCTTAAGAGATCAGGGAAATTGTTCATTTTTATCATTAGTAAAGCTAACAACTTGGGTAAAGCCCAATTAGGAAGTCTCTTGACAAATTTCCCCTAATTTAGTTTCCATTTGGTTAGTATTGCACGCCAATACCTTTTCATGGGGCCATACACTGTATGTTCATCCAATGGCTGCAATATGTGGGTTGAGTTAGGAGGCAGAAACACCATGTGGATTATTTTCTTCCAGCATGTTTCAAGAATATAAGAACTTGCATGAGCAGCTAAATTGTATCCAATTATCACCTTCCATTGATCTACGGGCAAATTGTGACACCAAGGTAGAACCACTTTTTGAAACCAGTCTTCAAAGCAAAACCTATCAAACCAGCCAGACTTGGTTCTATTGTAGTGAGCAATGGGTGGTCTATTCTCAATCCAGGTACTCATCATGCATTCTGCTTTAAAAACTGTGTAGGGGGGTAAAACCACTCCACTTGCACTTCCTGCAAACATTATTGAGATTGAAGTGTATTTTGTGTTTATGATGTTATCTGGATGCCTCGTGGCCTTTCTGTAAATCATTTTCTTTGAGCCAGGGTCATTACTGAGATTAGTTTCATCATAATTCATTACATTAGAAGGAATGTCCTTGATCAGGGTGCGGAGATTAGTAAAAAAAATAACAATCTGTTCTTCACTTAAAGCTGCACGATTCCTTAAAATGTTCTTACCAATTCTCTTTGTAATTAGGTTGTGCCTTTTCAAGAATCCATAGGCCTAATCTTGTACAGGGAAGTTATTGGTAAAGGCTGGAACAACTCTATTTTGTTTGTCAAGGATACTTTTGATGAAGTGTCTTAACTCAGCCAGATCCCAAACAAATCCAAAATCGAAAAATGTAACTACATTTTGAGCAATGACAAGCTGCACTACAAATATTTGCTTGCCATTTACTTGTATTTTTATAATCTGAAAAAAATAATTTTTTTGTAACAGACATTAAAATGTCAGGCTAACATTGGGCTATAAAAAGTGTGTAGAGTGGGTCACTGTACCTTTAAAAGTTTAGCGGTTATTAGTTAAAAATTGATAAAAATACCAAACTGGCCATATTACCCCATGGTGGCCATATCACCCCATTTGACGGTATTTCTAATACTGTGTTTAAAAAACTTTGCAGGACCAAAGAACTCTCAAGGTAATCTCTTAAGGTAGCTTGACGTTTAAAATCCAACAAAACACACTTTTAAAAGGATAAACTTTTAGACATTTCTTTTTGCAAAGAAAATTGTTTTCTGCAGTGAGAATGATGCTCCTTGTAGAGAATCTTGTAATAACCTCATTACCTCATCAAATGTAAGTTAAACTTTTTAGTTTAAGCCATACCACAAGTAGCCTCCTCATCTGTAGTGGCCTTTTTGGCCTTGGGGAGGCGAATTACAAAAAAAAAAAAAAAAAAATTGCAATGTGAGTTGATCGAGTTAAACGATCTTAACATTAGCAATTTTACTATGTTAGGGTGCAAAAATGGTAAACTTCATTTGTAGAAGAACTTCTTAATAGAAAACCTTTTAGGTCTTCTTCCTGGCTTCACATTAATGAGATTCCATTCTGCCATATATATGGAAAAACCTTATGAACTAACCTTACCAGATAAAGGATGGTGTAGAGCAATCAATAAACTATATTTCAAAGTTAATAATTTTGAAAGAATGACTATATTTACGCTGATTACCCCCTGGAGCCTGTGGGTGATTAATGGTTTTGATAACTAAATAAATACTATAGTGAAGTAATTAGATGCAATATTAAAAAAAGCTCAACTTTGAAGTAGCAACTCTTATATGTGGTAAATTGTCTCACAGTTGATTACTTTTTTGTGGCATGAGGTTACATGCTTCTCTATATGAGCAAGCATGATCTCAGACCTGAAAACAGGTTTATTTTTTAATGCACTTTGAGATTAAACCAAGGCATTAAATTAAAAGATCATTACTGAACCAGTTTTAATTGCAAACTTGTCATTGATTTAACTGAATGCAGTGAAGTCCAGTCATATTGCAACATTAAATAACATAAAATAGAATGCAGACAATAAGATTTGTATCAAGGACACAGCCGTGTAGATTTCAGGGTCTGTAAAATGTTCCTAAGGCTAAGGAATTGCCATATATCCACCACTTAATTCTAATTAGCTACAACAGCGCCAACATTTTATACCTCTACTTTGCTCCCATTTTTACTGCTTTAATAATTTTTTACTTTTTTCCTTTTTTTTTATGGTATACTGCATTTAGTCACATTATTTAGTGTTGGTATTTGATATTATTGCTTTATAATAGCTAGTTAGTTTTTAATACACTATTTTAAATTCTTTTTTATCATTCACTTTTATCATTCACTGACACAGAAGCGCAGTAAATACACTATTTTATATAATAAACAGCAATACACTATTTTATATAGCAAACATCAATAAACTATTTTATACAGTAAACAACAATACACTATTTTTATAATAAACAGCAATACACTATTTTTATAATAAACAGCAATACACTATTTTAAATCATTTTTTATCATAACATTCACTGACACAGAAGCGCAGTGGTGTAGTGTGCTACATTACAGGCAAGCAATTCAAGGTTTGAATCATATTTTGATTTAATTTTTTTGATTTACTGTCTGTTACTAATTTTTTTGATTTATTGTCTCATTTTTTTGTTATACTAACCATCATTACATCAGCAAACATATAGAAACTATATGCATAATACTATAGTCACTTGCATAGAATTTTTTTTAACTCATTATGTCTACCCTACAACATAGAGATCATTTTTCTCCTTAGAATGAGTTCTACACCTCTATCATTCTTCCATCACTTTGAATTCTTACTGAATGGTTCTACTAT